CCAACACCCTGGAGAGAGGCTTTCTGGGTTTGCCATTCTGCCCCTCCCTCTCGGAGATGAATATTCAGGTTGGGTGGGAAAGGGAGACCTTCTGGAAAGGAAACCAACCACAGAGCCTTAGAGAATACTTGAGAAAGAAGATGCATAAAAGCATTAAAAAGAGACGAAAAGAACCTGGCCGGTGTGGCTCAGTGGTTGAGCGTGGACCCTGCACCAAGAGGTCGCCAGTGTGATTCCCTGTGAGGGCACATGCCCAGGTTGTGGGTCTGATCCCCAGTGGGGGGCATGCAGAGGGCGACCAATCAGTGTTCTCTGTCATAGATGTTTCTGTCTCTCTCTCCCTCTCCCTTCCTCTATCTCTAAGATCAATAAAGAAAAAAATTTAAAAAATAAAAGAGACCCCCCCCCAAAATTCAGGGGGCTATTGTTTTAATTTTTCTTTTGGGACTAGAGCTTGAGTGAAATCTTGCAGGAGTAAAACTGTCCCCATTCTTTGCACCTTGAACTAAAGTTACAAATATTTTAAATGCCTGTTTAATACGAGTTTTGAAGAAAATCGCACAACTATCTCACCTTGAACAGTTTCATATATATTTTTTTCTATCATCTGATTGTTATCTCTATGCACATACAGTTTTGAAATAGTTTTTCATATTTTTAAAAAATCATAGAACACATACATTGCTAGTGACTCTATGTATTACCATGTACATATATCCTCATAGCTTTAACAGGGTTGAAATTGTATACACCATTTCATAAACTTCTCTCTTACGGAATCTTCAATTATGAAGATATAATTAGCAATGACTCCCAGATAGCTCAGATGGAAAAACAGCCGTCGGTTTGTAGTACAGCTATTTCTTGTGAAACCTATCATGCTTTAGGGCTGTTTTAGGATTCACAGGGTTGTCTTCCCAAACATCAGCAATCCCCTTTGTATGCAGTAAGAACACTGTAGGTGGGTCTATGGTTGCCCAGAACACGGTTCCATGTTAGGCCCCCTCTGCTGCTGGGCGTGGCATGTGGGGAGTAGTGAAAGGGACATGTGCCATTTCCAGGTCTTCCACTTGACAGAACCAGGTACTCCCCTCATCTTTCCTGTCTTGCAGGGGGCAGGGGGCTGCAGACCCGTGAGATGGAAGCCCATGTTGAAGAGGCGGAGCTGTGTGTCTTACTGTACCTGGACTGTTGACAGTCTCTCTTGTTCCAGTTGTCATATCCATAGGCGTCTCTGACCCAGTGGCCCAGCCATTACATTAATATACTACTTATTATTTTTTTTAATCCTAACCCGAGGATATTTTTCCATTTATATTCAGATAGAGTGGGAGGGAGGGAGAGAGAGGAAGAGAGAGGGAGAGAGAAACAAGGACATGAGAGGGACACACTGACTGGTTGCCTCCTGCATGACCCGACCAAGGCCAGGGACAAATGCAACTGAGGTACGTGCCCTTGGCTGGAATCGAACCCGAGACTCTGGTCCGTGGGCCAACACTCTAATGCTGAGCCAAACTGGGCAGGGTTTATTTATTTATTTTTGGTACATGCCCCTAGCGGGAACTGAACCCGGGACTCTCTGGTCCGCAGGCTGACGCTCAACCGCTGAGCCAAACTGGCCAGGGCGGGCAGGGTTTAATATACTATTTTTTTGTTGATTGTTTCAGACAAGATAGTTTGAAAATATGTTCTCATTTTAGAAAAGTCCAGAGTTTGACGTTATTCTTCACCTTGTATTTGCTAAGTTATTTTGTCTTTCTGCTTGTGGTTGGCAACATGTCAGTGTTTTATTTTGTAGGTGACCCTGTGCCCTCCTAAGTGTTCTCTGCCCAGAGCTGTGTTCCAGGAGCTCAGTATTGGCCATCCTATACTGCACACATTTAATGCTACACAGAAACATGCGCTAGGAAAACCTCAAGGGTGCAGCAGGTTGAAGATTGTTAGCTGAGCGCTGGGTGGAGGCAAAGGTCCAAATCCTGTAAATGATGGTAGGAACAGTGTAGAATATCTCAAATGCCAGCCCTACCTTCCTCTGCCAAACTAATACTTACTCTTCCTGGCTCACACTCTTTGTTCCTGGCTCACATCTTTTACTGAAAAGTAGAAAGGAACCAAAGGGAATGAAATTTGATTGGACATCTTAACACTTACTGAAAGGCTGTGTGAAATAGTGATTAAGAAGGTGGAAAATTGGCCCTGGCCAGTTTGGCTCAGCAGTTAGAGCATCGGCCGGCGGACCAGAGAGAACTTGATTCGGTTCCCACTAAGGGCACCTACCTCGATTGCAGTTTGTCCCCGGCCCTAGTTGGGATTGTGTGGGTGGCAACCGGTCAATGTGGTTCTATCACATGGATGTTTCTCTCTCTCTCTTCCTCCCTCTCTCCCTCCTGCTCCATCTCAAGAGAAATGCAAAAATGTCCTCGGGTGAGAATAAAAAGAAAAAAAGAAAACCACAGGCAGTCTTTTGTTTTATTTATTTATTTATTTATTTATCTATCCTCACCCGAGGACATTTTTTCATTTTTTTGTTCAGGTAGAGTGGGAGGGAGAGACAGAGAGAGAGAGAGAGAAACATCGATGTGAAAGGAACACATCGAGTGGCTGCCACCCGCACGACCGACCAGGGCCGGGGACAAACTGCAACCGAGGTACGCGCCCTTAGCGGGAACCGAACCCGCATCTCTCAGGACCGCAGGCCGTCGCTCTAACCACTGAGCCAAACTGGCCAGGGCTATTTATTTACTTTTTTATCCTTACCTGAGGACTTTTTTTTTTTTTTTTTGCATTTATCTTTAGATAGCGCGGAGGGAGAGAGGACGGAAGAGAGAGAGAGAAACATCAATGTGAGAGAGACACATTGACTGGCTGCCTCCCACACGACCCCAACCAGGGCTGGGGACAAACTGCAACCGAGGTACATGGCCTTAGTGGGAAACGAACCCTGGACTCTCTGGTCTGCGGGCCGATGCTCTAACTGCTGAGCCAAACCGTTCAGGGCCTTGCTCTGGATTTTTAATATAACTCAATCAATCAATGATTATCATTCTGCAGTTGTCCTAATCAATTGCAAGTATGATCTGAGGCTATATTATTTTAATTAGCACTGTCAGGTATTCTGTGACTCCTTTATTTGAATTCACAATCTACTGACAAGCCAACATAAAGATATCAAAACAATTAGCAACTAAAACAAGTGACAGTAATTAAATAGTTATAATAATTGCAATAGTTGAGCTGTAAATAAAATTGCTTCCTAGCAGTTAAAGTGAACATGATTATCAGAAAAGGTAAAAAATACAAGAGAAGCAAAGCTTTCTCTTGTCCCAAACTACAAAAGAAACTCTACAGGTGGCATTTTACAGAAGATAGAATAAAAAGAGCTCTCAACTACAACCCCACAACGGATACCGTACACATGAAACTAATACAAAATAATACTGAATGTAAACTGTAATAGAAAAATAAAGCAAAAACAAACAATCGAACAAAAATGTAGTCAATGTACAATGGCAGGAATTTGTGTGAGAGTATGCTCAAAGCAGCACATCTTCTGTCTGTTGATATTTGATAAAAGTTAGGTAGGAGAACATTCGACAAAGCGCTTTGATGAGCACCTACACATTACGTTGCTCTTATGTGTTTCTGGTTGAGGAAAAGGCCACCTGCTCTGAATGCCACCTCAATATAAAGTTCTGCTGAGCTCCTTTTGTTAGTGTGAAGGTGCCTTACTGGGACTCTTTTTTGTTTTAATTAAAAAAAAATTTTTTTTTCTTCATTGATTTGAGAGATGAAGGGAGAGAGAGATAGAAACATTGATGAGAAAGAACATTGACTGGCCATCTCCTGCATGCCCCTCACTGGGGATTTGGCTCACAACTTGGGCATGTGCCCTGACTGGGAATCGAACTGGCGACCTCTTGGTGCATGGGTTGATGCTCAACCACTGAGCCACACCAGCCAGCTTGTTGTTTTTTTAAAATTAGTTAATTTATTTTTGTTGCAGATGTTGTCCCCACCAGACACTGTCCTCCCTATCCAGCCCGCGGCCCCTCCCCCCAAGCATTGTTGTCTATATCCACTGGTGATGCATATATGCATATAAGTTCTTTGGTTTATCTCCTCTGAAGCTTTGTCAGTCTGAACTCTACTCCTTTCTATGTCTCTGGGTCTATTTTGTTCATCTGCATATTTTGTTCATGATATTCCAGAAATGAGATGATGTGTTATTTGTCTTTCTGTAATGGGCTTATTTTGCTTAGCATAATACTCTCCAGGTCCCTCCATGTCGTCTCAAAGGATAAGAGATCTCTCTTTCTTACAGCTGTATAGTTTTCCATTGTGTATATGTACCATAGCTTTTATATTCACTCATCCATTAATGGGCACTTGGGCTGTTTCCAGATCTCAGCGATTGTGAATACTTCCTCGGATTCTTGATCAGCTTGAGTAGGTGGGCTTAAGGACTCCTGCTGTTATTTTGAACTCCAAGCAGTGCATCACCTACGTTTACAGGCACGTTTAACCGGTAACCTCACCTGCACGAGGAACAAACCAGGGCCCCATGCAGAACTGCTACAAGGTTCACCAAACCCGAGACAGACATTCCAGTTTACCTTGGCAGCCAACGCAGAGCCCGGGGTCACAGCCCAGGGAGTGGCGGGAGGGCGCTCCCAGCAGGGAGTTTTGTATAAAATGTTCCCCTAAAGTATCCCACAGCCATGGATTATTACTCTCTCCTTGTCCTTGCAGTACAAGCCATCACTACTGGAGTCTCCCAACCGAGGCCAGGGCAGGTGGGATCTGGCACGCGAAACGCTCGGTCACCGGGTCTGGGCGGAGCGAGGGGCGGGGCCTAGCGCGCGCGCGCAAGGCTATTGGGCCAGGGGCGGGGAGCGGCTCGGGGCGGGGCCGGGGCTCGGGGCGGGGCCTGGGCGTGCCCGGCGGCTGGAGCGCGGCGGGGGCGGGGCAGCTGCCGCAGGCCCACGCCGTAAACAGAGAACATGGCGGCGGCGGCACCTGGGGCTCTTGGCGCCTTGCAGGCCTGCCGCGCCCGCTGGGTGGCCGCTGGCTGCGCGCCGCTCGGGCCTGGGTGGAGGCTGTCCGGCCCCTTGACGGGCCCGCGGCTCGGTTCGGCGACCTGGGTCCGGGGCTGGGCGCCGGCAGCCGGGAGGGCGACGCTGCGGCGGGGCTACAGCTCTGAGGTGAAGACGGAGGACGAGCTGCGGGTGCGGTACCTGGAGGAGGAGAACCGAGGTGAGTGCCCGGCGCTGGCGGCCGGCGGGCCTCGGCTCGGGTCCGCAGGGGTGTCGGGCTGACGTCATGGCCCCGACTTCCCCGCCAGCCCGGCCGAGCGCGGTGGACGCCCGAGGAGGGGCCGCCGCGCACCTGGGAGGGCGGCCCTCCCGCCTGCACGAGCGCGGGGCCCGCAGGTCCTGGTCTGGCCCGGGAAGAGCGGACGGGCACGCGGGGCGAGGCGGAGCGTTCGGAGCTCTGGTGAGATTGCACTTTATTATTATTCTGCAGACTTTTCAGTGTAAAGCTGTTGAGCTGGAAGAATGTCCCCTCGTCCATTTTATCTTGGAAAGTTGGTTTGGGGGTGCTCTTTCACGTCAGTGAAACGATTTTGAGCATTTCTTTCCTTTTTTTTTGGTCTTCGGTTCCCGAGACCATCTGGGGACACCGTGGTGGGTGATGGTGCCCTTGCCCTTGAGCCTGCTGCGGGAGGAGACGGACGCTGTAGCGATGCAATAGGTGGGAGGGAGGGTTGGAGAAGATGGGGTGCCATGCCTGTCATTGTGAGGGATTACGTTGGCAGCTGTATTCCTTTCACTTGCCAAGTGGGGGAAACCCAAAGGGATCATGAAAGGTGTCAGAGCAGTTTGCCAGAGGACTGGTCATTTAATTTGGACTCACAGCGAATCGAGCACCTATATGCAAAGAGTGAAGTCGTGACTGCTGGCTGTAAGCAGCTCCTCTTAGAGTGTAGAAGATACTGGTGATAAGGCTGTGCTCACTGTGAAGGTTCGGTGAGAGCACAGGGCTTTGATACCCCCAGGAGCCTGGGATCGGTTCTTTGGGGGAGATGGAAAGACTGGAAAGGGGAGATTCTGTGGGTTGTTAGGTTCGGGTTTTGGCAGACGAAACCGGTTCAGTGGCATAGCCAGGGTTCTTAGGCAAACGTCTCTGTGCATCAACTTCCTCCTGCATAAAACGAAAAAGACCACCAGCTCTGTGTGGCTGCTGTGAAGACTGGGTGGTAATGTAAACTGCCCACCAAGTACCTGGCTGATAGGAGGTGCCCCGGAGTTTGTGTGTTTCTTGTTTCCGACAGAGACAAGGCATGGCATGTGAACACGTGTGGTGTGGCTGTAATATGGCCTGATAGGCAGAATGCTGACATTCAGCTGGACAGTAGATTGGCACTGGACTGGTTCTGGAGCTGTGACCGCCACCATCTTTTGGGTTAGCTCAGTCTCACTGGACTTTCCATTACATTAGGTGTAGCAACAGTACATTAGATACAAAGGAGATGTTGTACTTATTTTTTTGTCTTTACGACTTCACGAATGTTAAACTGAAAGTAGTAATGTCTGGAAATCCCTTAAATTCGGATCCAGATGGATCAAAGAGAAGAAATAAGAGCATACAAGAGAGTCTAATACATTCAGGTGTTTTTAGTTACCTCAGCCTGTAAAAATCAGGTATTAGGACATCGTGGTTTCTTGAGAAAATTGGTCCTGCTTCCTCTAGGGTTGGGCAAGAATGACAGAGGAGGCTTAGCTGAATGTGCTTTGCTTTGTTATCAAGCCAGCAATAAGCAGTGCCAGGAAAAACACAAGTCAAGGCTACTGCAGGAAGGAGACCTCTGGTGCCTCTGCTTCTCATAGAGGCTCAGCCAGAATGTGGTGCTCTCAGGCAGGCTGGCGTAGGTGTGTGAGTGCAGAACACATCAGCCCTCATCTGTTGTCTGGGTGCCATGTTTGTGACCTGTTGTGGAGGCACAGGTGTGTAACCAGGTTTCTGTAGTGGTTATTTCTTGCGTTGTTGTTCAGCCAGCAGTCCTGGTCATGGTTTACAAAGGTCTCTCTTAGTCTTGGGCAGTGGCCTCCTTTATAAGTCAACTGGTCATTCTTCCTAGTTTCTTCTTTATTCTTTTTTTGAAGGCCAAGAATCACTGCTCAGTTAAACACCTCTAGTGGCTTCCTTTTGGCTGCAGGCCCTTGCAGCTGGCTGGCCTTCATGGTCCATCCTCTCCTTTCAGCTGCAGCTAAGCTTTGCTTTTCTCTGCTTTGCATACAAGGGGAATGACCTCTCAAGGCCCTTACCAACTGTCTCCCAGTCTGACAAGCTTCTGTTTATCATTGTGATCCATTTCAAAGATTATCTTTATAAATCATATGGGAACAGCTGCTGGCAGAAACAGAGCCAACAAATGCAGAATGCAAGTCATCCTTGGTACCTGCTTTTTTCCTCTTTGTTCACATCTAGATTTTCAAGTCTTCCTGAGTGTCTGAAATCTTTCCACTTTTCTCTCTGTTCTTCTTTATCAGTACCACTCTTGTCATCGTTTGTCAGGGGAACTCTTGCGGGGGCCTCATGTTTTAAAAACATATTTTCATATACTTCTTGGCATGTGAGTTATATAATTGTGTGTATAGTTACATAATTCACATGCCACACAATTCAGAATGTACAGTTGTTTTTAGTGTATTTACAGAGTTGTGCAACCACCACTACAATCTAGTTTTAGTACATTTTATCAGTGCAAAGAGAAACCCTGTTCTCTTTAGTAATGACTTGACTTCCCATTGTCACAGGCCTGCTGCCCCCAAAATAAGACCCAGTTGTCTACTTTCTGTCTCAATAGAGTTGTCTGCTCTGGACACTTTATATAAGGAAATCATACAATATGTGATCTTTTCTGGCTCCTTTCGCTTTATGTTTTTAAGGTTCATCCATGTTGTAATATGTTTAGTACTTCATTTCTTTTTATGGCTGAATAATGTTTAATGTATGGATATTCCACATTTTATCTTTTATCACCAATATACATTTGAGTTGTTGCCACTTTTTGGATATTGTGAACACTGCTGCTTAGGATATTCATGTACAAGTTTTTATGAACATTCGTTTTGCTGGATCATATGGTAATTCTGTGATTAACATTTTGAGGCAACTACCAAACTTTTCTAAAGTGGCTGCAACGATTGACATTTCCACTAGTGAGGTATGAGGGCTCCAGTTTCTTCACACCCTGGTGAATACTTGTTGTTGTTTGTGTTTTTGATTACAGTCATCCTGGTGCTTGTGTGTGGCTTTGATTTGGATTTGCCTGATGGTTAAAGATTTTGAGTATCTTTTCATGTGCTAAGTGGCCATGTGTATTTCTTTTTTTTTTATCCTCACCCAAGGACATTTTTCCATTTTTTGTTCAGATAGAGCGGGAGGGAGAGAGAGGAAGAGAGCGAGAGAGAGAGAAACATCGACGTGAAAGGGACATATCGAGTGGCTGCCACCCGCACGACCAACCGGGGCTGGGGACAAACAGTAACCGAGGTACGCACCCTTAGCGGGAACTGAACCTGGGTCTCTCTGGATCTCAGGCCGATGCTCTAACTGCTGAGCCAAACTGTCCAGGGTGATGTATATATCTTTTTTAGAGAAATGTCTTCTAAAATCTTTTGCTCATTTTTAATTGGGTTGTTTGTCTTTTTGTTATTGAATTGGGAGACTTGTTTATATATTCTGGATGCAAGTTCCCTATCTGGTACTTGATTTGCAAATGTTTTCTTCTATTTTGTGGGTTGTCTTTTTATTATTCCTCACCCGAGGATATGTTCATTGATTTTAGATAGAGAAGAAAGGAAGGCAGAGAGGGGGGGGGGCAGGAGAGAGAGAGAGAGAGAGAGAGAGAGAGAGAGAGAGAGACACTGACATGAGAGAGAAATGTTGTATGGGTGTGCGCCACAACCTCGGTATGTGACCTGACCGGGTACTGAACCCCCAACCTTTTGGTGCACTAGATGATGCTCCAACCAACTGAGCCACCTGGCCAGGGTTCTTTTCACGTTCTTAATGGTTTATTTTGAAGAACGTAGGGTTTTAATTTTGGTGTAGTTCAATTTATGTATTTGTTTATTTTGTTGCTATGCTTTTGGATTATATCTAAGAAACCTAAGCAAGTTCACAAAGATTTATACCTGTTTTCTTCTAAGAATTTTATGGTTTTAATTCTTTTTTAAAAAAAATCTTTATTGTTGAATATAAAATGTATTACAGATGTTCCACATTTTCCCCCCATTGACCCCCTCCTCCCCACTCCTGCCCCCCTCCCGCCTTTTCCCACACTATTGTCTTTGTCCATTGGTTATGCATATAAGTTCTTTGGTTTATTTCTTCCCACCCCCCAACCCCTTTCTCTTTGAGGTTTGTCAGTCTAGCAATGAATTTGTACTTCTTAATCTCTTCACATTTTTCACCCATTCCCCCATCCCCCTTCCCAACTGGCAACCAACAAAATGTTCTCTGTATCTATGAGAATGTTTCTGATCTGATCTACCTGTTCATTTTGTTTGTAGATTCCATTGTTGATAGATATGTATTCATTGCCATTTTGTTTGTTCATATATTTTATCTTTTTCTTCAAAAAGACCCTTCATCATTGCATATAATAACGGTTTGGTGGTGATGAACTCCTTTAACTTTTTCTTGTCTGGGAAAGTCTTTATATGGCCATCGATTCTAAATGACAGCTTTGCAGGATAGAGTAATCTTGGTTGCAGGTTCTTGCTTTTCATCACTCTGAATATTTCTTGCCACTCCCTTCTGGTCTGCAAGGTTTCTTTTGAGAAATCAGCTGACAGCCTTATGGGAACTCCCTTGTAGGTAACTAGCTGCCTTTCTTTTGCTGCTTTTAAGATTCTCTCTTTGTCTTGAACCTTTTGCATTTTGATGATGATGTGTCTTGGTGTGGGCCTCTTGGGGTTCATCTTGTTTGGGACTCTCTGTGCTTCCTGGACTTGTATGTCTCTTTCCTTCACCAAGTTAGGAAAGTTCTCTGCCATTATTGTTTCAAACAGGTTTTCAATTTCTTGTTCTCTCTCTTCTCCTTGTGGCACCCCCAAGATGCGAATGTTGGCACGCTTGAAGTTGTCCCAGAGGTTCCTTACACTATCCTCATTTTTTTGGATTTCTTTTTCTTTTTGCTGTTCTGATTGGGCGATTTTTGCTTCCTTATATTCCAAATCAATGGT